CTTCTGTGACTGTTCATCACTTCTGGCCTATTGAAAATTAGCTGAAGTTTACCAGGACAGATTTCCTTTACCTGAATGTAACTAATGGCTAATATTCTATGTTAAAAACATCTATATCAGTGCATGAAAAAATGTCAGATCGATCGATAATTAATTGACAACGTGATGAAGTTTTAAAGCGGGCCTTACTTCACATTGCACCTCCCGTGACGTGACTATTACATCTCAGCGTTGATGCCGTAACAATTCATATATCGCGGCTGAATCATGGAGAACTTCGGCTCTCAGCTGTGGCCTTGTCTCGCTAACAGTCTCTTGTCATTTCTCCACTCGTTGCTCCATCCGTCTTTGACACTCTCAGTAGATTTGCTGGACCATCTCCCGCTTCTTGTCATGTCTCTCTGTTTCATTTCAGCTTCCATCACTTCCTCCTACTGCTTTTTTTTTTTTCCTCTGCACTTACTCGTCCTCTTATTCATTCTTTTGGTCTCCTCTCTGTCCGCCTACTTAACTTGAGACTACTCTGCCGTGCACCACCACCACCGCTACCGCCACCGCCGCCGCCGCCACCGCCACCTCCACCTCCTCCCCATTCCACGCTCCTTTTCCCTCCCATGTTCCCCTTGGCTGACTCCCAGCACTCCCTTCCTCTCTCCTCCGCTCTGTCACCCCTCTATAAAGACTCCCACTGACGGACCTGAACCTTCTGCCCAAGCCACATTCTGCCCCTCATTCTTTTCTCCTGCGCTCCATGCGAGGAGGAGACCAATTAAAGTCCGTCTCGTCTCCTCTTCCACTCCGTTGTTCTGCTCTCTGTGTGTCTGCACTCAGACTCTCTGGGGTCGCTAATTAAAACACTTTTACTTTCTTTTTCTCTTCACTCTACTTTCTTTTTTTTTTTCTTTTACCTGTTCGTCCAACTTTTTCTTCCTTCAGCTTCTTTATTCATCTTTTTTTTTTTTGTCCCGGCTCTTTTCATCACTGTCCTTATGTCACATCTCTTCCCTCCATTTGTGACCTGCTTTTGTCCTTTTGTACTTTTTTTTTTGTGATTTGGTCGTGTTGCTTTGTCCTGCATCTGTTAAACAAGGTATGAACACAGCAGGTTATACTTTATGAAATGCACACTGCGTCTGTGCAACAGGAGGAAACACCATGAAACAGGTGCACACTATGTATAATCTTAGAATGTGCAGATGGTGACTAGTTTAATAGATAAGAAATTACAAGACAGTCAGATGTTTGCAGAGAGGTACTGAGGTTGCTGATGCTGCTTGTGGAAAGGTCTCCCACTCTTCTTGAAGGACTCTGTGACGTTGGCGGATTTGTACATCCAGAGATGTTGTAATATGTCTGCAGGTTGTGCCTGGCCTGGACCGGATCATTTTCAGCTGCTTACAACACCGTTCTGTCGTTACATCAGGGCCTGGGTGAGAAGATCCCAGAGCAGCTTCCCTCAGTAGATTCCTCACAGTCTGAGCAAACGTTCTCTGGTAGATCACACCAACACCTACATGAGCGTCTCTGTTGATGTGATGATTGATGATTGAGTTTACACTGGTTTTAGGCTATTTTTAGCTGGGTTTTGAGCTTGTGTTAGACTGGTTTTAGACCAGTTTTAAGCTGGTTTTGGATATTTTTTAGGCTTGTTTTTGACTGGTTTTAGGCTAATTTCAGATTGGCTTTAGGTTGGTTTTGGACTGATTTAAGGTTACATTTTTTGCTGGTTTGGGGCTTTTTTGGGCTTGTTTTAAGCTGGTTTTTGGACTGGTTTCAGACTAATTTTAGATCTGCTTTAGGTTAGTTTTGGACTAGTTTAAGGTTCCATTTTTTGCTGTTTTTCGACTGGTTTAACATTGTTTTTAGACTAATTTTAGATTGGCTTTAGGTTGGTTTTTGACTGGTTTAAGGTTAATTTTGGCTGGTTTTTAGATCAGTTTTATGCTGGTTTTGGACTGGTTTTAGGCTGGTTTTAGGTTGATTTTAGACTGGTTTAAGGTTACATTTTTGTTCATCCTGGACTGGTTTTAGGCTGGTTTTGGACTGGTTGTGGTGACACTTAGTCTGCAGTCATGTAGCAGATTGTCTTTTGCACTTTGCTGTCTAAAACAGTTTTTCGGATGACAAATGGTGGAGTTTTTGACATTAAAGCGCCTGACTACGGCTCTAACAGCCCGTTCTCATCTTTCCTTTGTCATTTGTATCATTTGAATAAAGCTGCATTTTTAGGTTCTATAAAAGTGACCTTTTATAGTCACTGGTCAAAGGAGTGTCTGAGCTCCAGTCACGCTATCTGATCATCGTCCTTTAAAGCCACATCTGACGAGGCTGTGGATTAACTACGTGAACGAGAATTTGTCACCAGCTAAACGGCTCAAATTGGCTCCACTGAAGCCTTTTCTGACCAGAACAATAAAGATGACATTTTTAACTTTTCTCTGAGTCAGTAAAAAAGACCACTTGCATGCTGAGTTTACATTCTTGTTCAGTGTACTTCCCTCTGTCTTCCTCTCGTCACCTCCTTCTCCTATTAGTTCGTACATGGGTAACTCTTTATACTGTAGCTGACAGCGAGTCAGAATCCTCAGTCTGAAAGCGCATACATTATGCAGCTCCTCTGTTCTAATGATGCTGTCTTGTCCAGGGTTGTTGTTATGCCAAAAACCAGTCAACCTTGACTGACATGGTTGTACATTCACATGCACGTCCGCTTAAGTTGGTACACAACTGTGTGTTTCTGTACTGCGTGCTCTGGGAAAATGGAAAACAGAGGCAGTCGAGTTTATTTTACACTGAACTCCCCTCAGTGGTCATAATTAGCATATGAGGAATGTTGTTCTCTCTATCTGACACTCGACAACAGTCTCTCGCTGCCCTAGAAATAAAATGGAGGTTTACCATTGTGTTATGCATTGTACAACAGAAGTGAGTACATCCATGTTTGATATCAAAAACAATTAGATGCTTAGATGGAAAATTCAAGCCACAAAGTAGAAACAACAAAAGTGAATACACCTGTGATCGCTGAAACTGAACAGAGTCCGCCTGTGATTGAACATGATTCTGAAATTAGCTTAGAACAGCAGAACTTTCTCAGTTTTGAACGCATGGGTGATTTCTGTCTGCATGTCTCTGTCATGGCTCCACATGGAAAAGAATTGAGCAGAGAAACTGAAAGATTTGATTGTTAGACTTTCCAAAGATGTAAAACGATGCAAGACAAGCAACTCAAAGATCTGTGGAAATACAGTAATCAGGAGGTCTAGAAGGAGCCACAGTAGCACTGAAAAGATTGCGTTTTTGATGGTTTTAGGCTGGTTTTGGACTTTTTCAGTGCTTGTTTTAGACTGGTTTTAGATTGGCGTGAGGTTGGTTTTGGACGTGTTTAGGGTTACGTATAAGGATGGTTTTTGACTTTTTCGGGGCTTGTTGTAGACTGGTTTTTAGACTGGTTTTAGACTAATTTTAGATTGGCTTGAGGTTGGCTTTTTGACTGGTTAAAGGTTAATTTTGGGCTGTTTTTTAGCCTTGTTTTAGGATAATTTTAGATTGACTTTAGGTTGGTTTTGGACTGGTTTAGGGTTACATATAGTGATGGTTTCTGACTTTTCGGGGTTTGTTTTAGACTGGTTTTCAGACTGGTTTTAGACTAATTTTAGATTGGCGTGAGGTTGTTTTTTTTGACTGGTTTAAGGTTAATTTTTGGCTGTTTTTTAGCCTTGTTTTAGGATCATTTTAGATTGGCTTTAGGTTGGTTTTAGACTGGATCAAAGGTCCATTTTTGCTGGGCTTTGGGGGTTTGTTTTAGGCTGTTTTTTTAGACTGGATTTAGGCTAATTTTAAATTGGCTTTGGGTTGGTTTTGCACTGGTTTCATATCATATTTTTGCTGGTTTTAGGCTGCTTTTGGACTTTTTTGGAGCTTGTTTCTGACTGGATTTTAGATTGGTAAGGATTACCACTAATCAGGACTGTAGTGGTCATCCTCCTACAATGACTCTACAGACAGTGAACTACTTTAACAATCTAGCTGTGAAAACCAGATGAACAAGTGCTTCAGATTTGGCACTGGTGTTATCAGTGGAAATCAGAGTTTCTCCAGTTGGAGTCCAGTATGTTTGTTGTGAACCTACCCAAGACTACTCCAGTAAATCTATAGCCCTGACAGTGAAGTACAGAGATTTTAATGGGATGGTATGGGGCTGCATGAGTGCTAAAGGTGTAGGGAAGTGTAGAGATCACCTGTTTCTGCATATGGTAAATCTTCACTGTTGTTTTTTTAATTTGGCTGTTCCGTTTGAAACCAATGCAATTACTGTTAAGTGAAACAATTTTGAATGATTTTATGTTAAAGCGGTCTTGCACACGGATGTACTCGCTTCTGCTGTGTGCAATAAAATCCCAAAGCATCCTTGAAGACCTGCACGACTTTGCTTTATCTACGTTATACCAGCGAAAAATCCATCTTCTGCAATATTCCACGTTCCTCCAGGCGCTGAGGCATTATGGAATACCTGTCCATCTGTCTTCCTTCGCTCTTTCTCTGTCCGTCTGTGCTTAATCACCGCCTCTCCTCCCCCGTCAGTCATGTATTAATCTGTAATCGTTATGTGAAATATTAATGCTGTTGTCGTTCTTCCTTCCAGGTTGACAGCAGGAGATCTGTCCGTTCAGCTGAATCTGAACGATTACCTGGACATCTACTGCCCCCATTACCCCAACAAGGGGACTGGGCAGCCAGAAACCTTGGCCCTCTACCTGGTGGCCGAGCAGGCTTTCCAAGGCTGCGTAGAAACCAGAGGGGCCATCAAGAGGTGGGAGTGCAACACTCCGTACGCTCCGTTCGGACCAGTCCGGTTCTCAGAAAAGATCCAAAGGTTTACACCCTTCTCGCTGGGGTTTGAGTTTCTGCCAGGGAGGCACTACTACTACAGCTGTGAGTACAAGACGTGTGTGTTTCTGTGCTACAAGTACGTAGCAATCATATTTAGCAGCCATACAAAAGCTTCATATATTCTAGAAATAATAAAGCTAATGGATTTTCTGGTTTAGATCAGGAGATATCAGATTGATGAATGCTGGACACTGCTGCTACTCAGACTGGCGCCAGGCAGACAGAGCTGTAAATTATATTGATTATCAGTTATGCAGACTATTGTGTCAAGTAATAAGTTCATCTGAAATATCAATAAATGGTTGAAATGTATCTGTCACACTCTTCAAATGGTAATTCCTTCAGATTAGGTGCTTTAGTTCCAGTTTACGATCACATAAGACAAAGAAACACAGCAGATCCATCTAATTACCAAGATGGAATCAGGCAAGAAGAAAAATATGACTTAACCCACCGAATCTCAAAACCCAAAGCAAACAAAGTAATTTCAAAAATCACCAAATTGACACCATTTATTAGAGCCAGAAAAAAATTTAAATGGTTCCTAAAATGATTGTATGTGATGTATGGTTCCATCGCCAAAAGATAACCAAATCAAAGCTAAAAATCACGATATTTAACTAAAATTACTTTTTTTCTACATGTCTCATTTTAAAATTTACCAACTGAAAACCATCTGTGCCGATTTTAAATAAATAAATAAATAAATGAATAAATAAATTTTTTAAAAAGCTCCTGCACTCCTGAGCACATCTGATAAGTGACCAACAGTCAGGTAACAAAACTTTCGAGTATTCAGTTGAATTGCAGGCAGTGTTTCCACAGAGCAGACATAGAACAACAAGAGAGAGCAAAATTAAACACACCGGATTAATAAAATAAATGCAGCATGGCTCAAAAACAGTGAACAGAGGAGCAGCTTGATGGAAGATACATCCAGCATGGTGAAACAAGTTTTTAGAGTTGTGTGGAAAAGTTTGTAAAAGTTGGCAAAATGCAAATAGTAAAATATCTTGTCGAGTGCCGATTTTTTTCCTGCATTGGTAGCACCAGTGGACACTTAGAAAAATGTTGGGTATGTTGATTCCAAGTTTTTTTTTTCTTTCGTAGAATAAATAATCAAAAAGAAAATTCAAATTTCGGTTATTCTTTTTTTTTTTGTTTTGTTTTTATGATTTATGGAACTTTGTCATACTGCACAGGAGACCTTGTTGAGTTCCCTCTACTTCCACTCATGGTTGTTCTCTTTCCATCGAGGTGCAGGATTTTATATTCCAGTGGAAAAATGAGCTGACAGTGAGGAAAAATGTGACAGGAGCAAAAAAAATAAATACATTTTTAAAAATGCTGAGCAAAAACGATCTGATATGAACCCAATAACAACGTAGTATAATATTAATCAAGTCTTATTTATTATATGTTAAACAAATCTAATTAGTCAGCAATTAGTTTGCTATAATTAATTAAGCTGCTGTAATTAATTTTTTTGGCTAATGGAGCGTTTCGGCTCTAAAGCAGTATAGAGGTTCGTTGCCTTTGACAGCAAGTGGTTCAAACATGGCTGGAAAAAAAAGTGTGTTTTTGATATGCAAAATGCAAAATCTCTTATCATTTTGTACAACAGTGAATGTTTGCTTTGGGCTTTTTACGCCGGCACCCCAATAAAACCGGTCAAAGAGAGAAAAATGTAAATATTTGATGTTTCAGGTCATCAGTCTGTGCAAAGATACCAGCGTTGGAGAAAGTGTGGTGGAGGGCAGCCTTACATTTTTAACAAGTAACAAGGTTCAGAGGAGCTTTAGCCAGGGTTTTTTTTTTCTCGTTTTTATTTTGTTTTTTATGAGGCCTGAGTGTTGGCAAAACTGCAGCTTATTCCATTAATGTTTTCCATAAATTCCCGCTGAATGACATTAATATGATGTTTTCATAAACCTGTAGGTTGTTACAGTCTCCGTGATGGTTTCTCCGTGACATCCTCCTGCATTTTTCTCTCCTCGCTCATTTATTTCAAACCACTGGAGGGAGAAAAGGGAGGGAAGAGAGACAGAAGATGGCTTAGTGGCTGTAAAATCAGTTGACATTTTTTTTCTCTCTCTCTCTCTCTTACTTTATACAAGTTTTGGTGTCAGTCCAAGAGAGGGAGGACATGAAACAAGGCAGAGAATGAAAGAGTCAAGTGAATGCGTCGTATGGAAGGGTGACAACAAAAGAGACAGAGGGACGGCAAAGTGTAGGAGGAAGAAATGGAGATCAATACAGGACGACAGCGAGGCAAGGCAAGAGAAGCAGACGGAGGTAGAGAAGCGTGGAAGAGTGACAGAGGGGGAGAAAGAGCAAAAGATGGACACAGCCTGACAGTACGGGGGAGGGAGGGAGGGAAGGAGGGAGGTGAGATGGGGGAGAAAGGGATGAGAGAGAGGATGGATGAGTGGACTGGAGAAAGGAGGACAACAAAAGGGATGGATGAGTTGAAGGAAAAGAGGGAATCTTTACATAAATTACTGTTGTGGTCGGCGGGACAATGGAGCATTGTGAGACCATGGGAGACACACACTAACACACACATGTACACGTGCACGCTCACATGCACACACACATGCACACTGGTCTATTGTGGCTGCTCATGCCAGTTCACAGAGAAGCAACAAAAGGTCCCCCCCCACCCCCTAGTCGGGCCACTTCGGGCTCACAGCGATTGTGTATGTTTTGTCCACGTCGCAGATAAGGCGTAAAGTTGGTCCAAATGTCTGGCTCTGGGGTTTGAGCGCTGAATGGACCCGCGGCACTGGAGGCTGCATAATGGCATTAGCCTGGGAGAACAGTACAATGGTATTAGAAACACTAATGGCATTAGTTGGCTCAGTCTGAGCCGGGCTCGAGCTCGTCTCTCCCACAGACGATGACAGAACGCTGTCACCCAGCAGCAGCAGCTCTCCATGTGTGGATCCACGCAAACAGGAAACACCTGGACATCCTCAGCTGACGTGGAAACATGTGAGAGGAAAGGAACGGCGCACTTTGGAAGCCACTTAACAGAACAGCTTTCACTGTGTTTAAAAACAAAGTGACTCGACAACGCGAGCAGCGGCAAAATATGGAAATCTGTTAAGTCACAGAAAAAAAACTGCAAACGTTTTGCAGAACTGATGAGCGCCATGAACATCTCGTAAAATTGAAATAAAGCTCCATCAGAAATCACTTCCTCTTTATTATGCTGTATAGAGTGCTACATTTATTCTCTGCCGTTTAGTATGAAGGTGATATAGGACTGAGGGATATAGCTGGAAACGTTTCATCATGATAAAATGTGTTATTTCAGTAGATATCAATAATTATTGATCATTTTAATGACTTATTTGTATTAATGACCAGAAGAAACAAGGTTTAATTTGAATTTCAACCACTTTGGAGATTATTTATCAAGGTACACATGCAGGTACAAATACATAAATAAATGTAAACACATTAAGATAAATAAGGATAAAGGAAGGATCTCACCTTGATGCACATTAAATAAAGCAAGCAATGAAAACCTGGAGATGCACGGAGGGCGACCAGGGCAAAGCTGTACCGTACCATCGCCCAGGTATCATTAGATGGAGATCTCAAACCAACCTGTGTGCACTCCAACATCAAGACCATCAGCCTTTGTTGCAGATGTTTCTTAGATGGAGGTGTGGTAGCACAGGGTCCTGGGAGTTTGTAGATTGCAACCTATGTCCTACATATGCAAATGTTAGTACTTGTTGGCCACATCAGACCTGGGAATGTCTGCAGACTGGGGGCCTAGGTGGGTCACAGACTAGCAGGCCTCGGAAGACCTGCATGGCATCCACGCAGAGAGTAATAGAGGGTGAAGGCGCTCCATTATTAAAGGACATGATTGTTTATGAGCCAGAGAGGGAGCAAGCTTGTGGTTTGCTTACATCATGTGTGGTTTCATTTTCATTTAGGTGTTGAACAATTTTCTTGTGTCTATTGCTGGTACATATTGTTATTATTGGCCAGACCTTGGTTGAATTCTGAATATGTAAATGTCTGTAGTATACGGTGCCCGCAAAAAAACCCAAAACTGTTGCTAATGGCATGTATACTTCCTTCTTTACATATGGAAATATTACTGTGTCTAAGTGTATTATAGGTATTACATCACCCTCTCATGAAAGTTGAAGCATTTAACCAAAAACGTCCATCGTGTTCCTGCTGGGTTGCTAACATTTCTGCATTTTGGGTTCTACATCCTTCTCGTCAAGCTGACTATAAAAGCGTGCAGTTCTAAGACTTCCTCCAACGCAAACATTATGGGACAAATTCTCGCAGTTTAATCGTAGCAACTGGACTTGCTTGAAGACGTTCTACCTCTCATCCAAGAGGCTTCATCAGTTCTAACTGACTAGTTGGGAGTTCCAGATATCCTTAAGGAGCCATTAACACTGAGTTTCGGTTTCAATTGGGGGTTTGTTGCTCCTCTTCCTCGAGGGGGAGAGGTGAGACGTCTACAAGAAACTCAAGCAAGTCCAGTTGCTACGATTAAACTACGAGAAAAACCACGACCTGGAGAATCTTCAGACATTATGGGATAAAATTATTGGATGTCAATCAAGGCAGTTTTTGACTGACACGAACATCAGCCTGATCCTTTGTTTATGTCCGCTGTCACACAGGTGTCTCTACTTTAAAAATGTTCTTTGTGAATGCAGCTTTATCAATCAATAACTGATTCATATATACTACATATTCAGTCCACTGTGTTTTTGTCCTGTGCTGATATTACTACTTTAAACAACACATACAAGCTGCTGTATGCCACTGGGCTATAAGATCCCCATCCTAGTTAGTCCCGTCTTGAGTTAAGTGCATTAGTTGGACGTCATTAAGCATCACAGAGGACTTCGTCATGGTTCCCTTTACTAGCTAAACCGCCACAATGTTCTGTGGGTTCCAACACAGAACCGCTGTTTGCTGCAGGATTAATCAATAACAAGCTCCAAACAGGTACTGCAGATGATCTACTTAGTACTTGAAGTGTGAGTTATCAAGGAAAACATATTGGAATGGGACTCTAAATCATAAATAACGGTTTTGGCCCACAAAGCAAAATTAGTGGAAAAGGACAGAAACACGAATCGAGTCCTTTGCACATCTAGTCGCTGGGACTTTCTTCAAGGCAAAACCAGTGCAGCATCTTCAACTTAAATTCATTTGTGCACATTAATCTTTCTGTAGGAGATCTGAGCTTTAACTTCAAGGTGTTATTGAGAAATGTCATTGAGTGCTGTGATAAAAGGCCCTATTATGCAATATTAATTAAAAATAAACATTAAGTGTGCACGACTTTTCAAGTATTTCTTCAAAGGCTAAAAGCTCTGGGAAGCGGACCTTGAGTTAAGACTTATTTATTTATCATTGGTCCATTTTTACGCCTCTCTGACGAGTTCTGTCTCGTAACGGAGCTGACTTTGGTTCTGTTATGTTTCAGCCGCCACAGACTTTGCCTAATTCTGCAGCCTCACTGTTTGTGTCTGCGTCGCGCCGTATCAAAGACAGACCGTTGGCAATCACACACTCGGTTATGGTTGTGTGTCTCTGTTGAGTTAGCGGCTGTCTGTGAATTATTCAGATATAAAAATCCTTTAACTGCAGCTTCCAAACAGTTTTGTTTTGTACCGGCCGTGTTAAACTGACGGATGGCGCTGACCTGATTTCCCATGTGAGCCGCGGCCGGTATCGACGTCGAAGGAGCCGCGTCCTTTAATGGTCTTGATTTCATATTTTCATTTATTTGCGCAGATGATGCGCGGCGTGTCACTGCGAGATGGTGTAATTTTTCATACTGATATCATGAAAACAACCTCTCTGTTCCTCGGCTTTTCTTGTCTTCAAAAGCAGCACAAGAATTCTCAAAGAGTTGATTTTACAGAAGGATTTCGTTCAGCGTATGCTAATTTCTTTTCTTATTTGACATGTTAGCGTCCTGAATGCTCGCTGTTTGTTGGGTTTAATAAGTAAGCAGCTTATTTACATCTTTCTTTTCTTGTTCTGTGCAGCTCTACCCGCAGATGAAGGCCCTCCTCTGCCATGTATGAAGTTGCGTGTCACAGTGTGCTGCGAGCCCAGTGAGTACACTCCTCTTTTCATCTGTTCTTTCTTTCATGCTTCCCCTTTGTACACCAACAGACTCTTCTCCCTGCCTCTCACATCTCCACTATCAGGCCTGTATAGCATGATGTTTACACTGCTACTTATCCCTGCTTCCTCCGCTCTTTTTTAGTAATTCTCTGCTGTTATCGGTGAAGCTAAATATATCTTTTCTCTCCAAAATCACTATTTTAACCTTCTGAGATGACACTCCTTTCGTGGGTGAGTACATCTCCGTGCAATCTCACTTAAAAGTCAAATGATTCGAAATGATTTGACGTCTTCGAATTGCATAATTTCAAAGTTGAACCGTGTTTCTTCCTATGAATGATCAAAAACAAATACTTTAGAAAGGCAAGATTTACATTACAAGGCAAAATGAACAACTCAGTGCAACAAAAGTGAACACACCTGTGATCCCTGAAACTAAACCGAGTCCACCTGTGATTTCCAATCAGTCTAACTGCATGAACATGGTTCTAAGATGAGCTGTGAGCAGCAGAACCTTTCTCAGTGTTGGACCTATGGACTGTGTCTATCTGCATGTCTACATCATGGCCCCACATGGAAAACTTCACAAAGATGGAAAAAGATCCAGAAAGATCAACTAAAAACCAGTGAACCACAGTGTAAGCAGTAACCAGGAGGTCTAGAAGGAGCCATAGCAGCGCTGATCAGGGCTGCAGTGGTCGTCCTCCTACAATGACTCCACAGACAGTCAACTACTTTCACTATGGAGCTGTGAACACCAGACAAAGGCAGCTGCTTCAGACTTGGCACAGAGTTTCCATGAAGCTCAGGCAGTCTGAAGGACACTTCATTTTGTCAACCTCTCAGAAAAACACTCGTTTGCTGTTGGACACAAAACTGGAAGGTGAAACTTTACCAAAGAAAAAATAAAAAGAAACCTGATGGATGTTGGAGAACATTCTTTGGTCAGATGAAGATCAATGTGTTGGGCTCAGATGGAGTCCAGATGTTTGGTGTGAACCTGACCAGGACCACCACAGTGGATGCATCGTCCTGACAGTGAAGCACGGAGGTGGCAGCATCATGATATGGAGCTGCACGAGGGCAAAAGGTGTTGATGACATTTATAGATGAATATCTGAGGATAAACCAGAATACTGGCTGATAAGATGACTCCCAGTCTGTAGAAGATGGAAGAAGAGGAATATTCCAGCAGAAGAACCATCCAGAGAAAAAAACACATAAGTTTCTGAAGAAGAAACTGTAAAGTATGACCTGGACAAGTATGTTGCATGACTTGTATGCAATAGAACATGCTTGGGGTATTTTAAAGAGAAATGTGGTGCAACACAACTCCTTCAGCAAAGAGCATCTCTTCCAGAAATGAGGAGGAAGATTGAGTCTGACGCAGAAAATAAAAGGCAGATGCACAGTTATTAAAAACAGTAATAAAGTTCTCAGTATGGAAGGTGTGCTGACTTTTGTTGCAATAAGTTTCTACTACATATTTTTAATATAGCAAGTCTAAACTAGTTTTTTATTCTACATCATTTATTGTTCAACTTCGAAGTAATGCAATTACTGATAGGAACTGATGGTTTTTAAGGCATCAGTTCATCCCGCCCCTCCTTCTTCTTCTTCTTCTTTTTTTTTTTTTTTTACCTCCTTGTCCTTCCTCATTCTCCCACTCTCCATCTCTCTGTCCCAGTGTGAAATTCCCAGAGTTGATCTAATCCAGAGCCCGCCTGGAGTAATGTTAGTCTTCCAGTCCAGTGAGCTGCCCATTCCGGTTGGGAATGTTGCCCAGTCACTGTGGGAATCCCTGTGCAGTTGCTGGTGTGTGCGTCCATCTCTCCGTGTCTGGTGCACTTTGTGTTTTTGTGCATGGGTATATGGGCCTTTGCGTGCATTCTTTGGCAGTTTAATTTGTCCAAGTTTGTGTGTGTGCGCGTGTGTGTGTGTCCTCACATGCGTGTCTGAGACGTCTGTCCCAGTTCCCATCCCAGTGTTATCTGCAGGGGGCTTGTTGTGCCGTCCTCGGCTCATCTAACACACACTTTTTTTTTTTTCCAGGGGAAACTGGCTTGCAAGGCTGTCTAATGAAATACCTCCCAATCTTGCAGCCTTGATTAAATTTTGGCATGAAAGGGAGGGGGGGCGGGGGGAGAAAAAAAAATTAAAACTGGAATAAAAAAGAGCTCCATCCGTCTCGAATGAATTCTTAAATGCCATCACTGTTCCGGTGCGAGACAGGGAGTAATTTGCTGCGTTATTACCAGAGTGAAGGCTGATGACTTTTTTTATATGCTAATTATCCTGCTGTCATTAATTAGAAATACCACAGATAATTGTTCAGTGAGAAAATGCTAATGTAGTCTTGACCTTCTGACAGTATTCCCCTGATCAGCCTATCTGAGCTGGAAAATAATCAAAATATTTGAAATCACCTGGATTATGCATGCTGGGAGACACATCCAGCGCGCTCACTCCGCTTTACTGGAAATTCATTTGCTCAATAGATTCAAGGTTTTAAATCTTGTGGAGACCTATATGATAATGCTGCTTCTGCCTTCATGAAACAGAAACACTATTAACAGCCAGTTGTTTGTAGATATTTACAGCTCAGTTGCTCAAACAAATAAGTTCCCTTATCCACCAATAAAACTAGACAACAGTTTGGCTACAGCTTGTTTGGAAAGCGTGTGGTCTCTCTCCTTATCTACAATTAAAGGCTTCGTAAAGATGACCTAAATTTGCAACAGGATGAGGGAACCAGAAATATCTAGAGCGGTTGCTGATGCAGCTGGAGAAAGTTAGATCCACTCTGACGCTTATCTGCTGATGAATTCTTTAACGACTCACAACTGCAAGGAGAATACAGCATCTTGCGGATGATTGTTTAAGTTTGATAGTGATATAGCTGCTGCATTGGTTTCTTTTTCCTCCGTTTTTGGTTGCAAGGGTGTAATTAAATCGTCGTTTCGTCAGCTCGTTCACTAACGCATAGGTTAGTGCATATTAAGCAGCTTATATTACACTTTTTTTAACCCTCTGAACTCAAAGCTGCAGTTTTTTGTGCTTTTTTTTGGTCACATTTTTGCTCACTATGGCCTCATTTTTCACTTCAATATGAAGTCCTGCACCTTTGTAGAAACAGAACAACCACAACGAAGGAGAGAGAAATGTCTTCTGTGCTGGATTGTGCTGAGGAGTGGCGAATTTTTTAGATTTACAGAATCAGATTACAGCACATCACCTCTAAAAAGAAGTTTCACCGTGCTGAATGTATCCTCGAACGTCTTCCACCATTTTTGAGCCGTGCTGCATTTATTTTATTGATAAAATATGATCGGTTTTTCTCTCATCTATCGTTTTGATGTTTCCATTCTTGCCTCCTCTGTATTTTGTGTAAAAATAATCGGCGTGCCAACCGAACAGTCCGAGAATTTTTGTTGAATGACTGTTGGTTGCAGCTGAGTCACTCGTGGCTCCATGGTTGCACGGAGGAATGCAGAATTTTTAGATTTTTAGAGAATCTCAGCTGCACCTCTAAACAGATGTTTCACCATGCTGAATGTATCCTCTAACATCTTGCACCTGCGTGAACCATTTTTTGCTGCGTTTATTGATTTCTCTGTCATTTTTGTGTAAAAATAATCAACATGCCAACCGAACACTCCGGGAATTTTTGTCAAATGACTGTCGGTTGCAGCTGAGTCACTCGTGGCTTCATGGTTGCACGGAGGAATGCAGAATTTTTTTGTTTTTTAGAGAATCTTTTTAGAGCAAACTATTTATTTTTGGCAAAAAATTTACAACCAGACATGTAGAGTAACGTGATTTGGATCAAATGTGGCGATTTTACAGTTAAATTTGGTTTCTGTTTTTGCAGCTCTGATGTGATTCTGGCGATTTTTTTTTTCTTTTCAGAGTTCAGAGGGTTCAGAGAAAAACCCCCTTTGCTTTATAGTAGAAAGAGTTCCACCTACAAAGACGCACACACGTCCTTTTAGCTTCCCTAACACATTTTTTTTCTTCCCCCTCCTCTCCCTCTCATCCTATCCCTTAACCAAAACTAATCCCGACTAAATTTCAGGATCTCCGTCTCCTTGTCTTTCACTCCCCCTCCTCGACTCCGACCTCTTTCTTCCTTCAGTCTTCTGTCATTCCTGAAGTGGCACTAATCCCCCCCTTCTCTCTGTCTCTTCAGCTCTCTCCTCCCTTCCTCATTTTTTATGATCTTTCGCTACTGGAGCAAAACTAATCTCGGCACCATCCACGGCAGTCTCTTACGCCGAGCACTCCACCTCCACCTCCTCCTCCTCCACCTCCACCTCCTTTCCCTGTGTTTTCTCTATCTCTTTGTTGTATCTCCGTACAGTCGCCACTCGCCTCCTCCTCCTCCTCCTCCTCTCCATCTCTGTCGCGGCCACGCTGTGTTGGGACGAGGCCGGAGCGAGGAGTCAGATGGATGAGGGAGGGAGATGAAGGAGAGCCTCTGTCTGTTTGACTGTCCATTAGTGGCGGTTTACCACAGCTGCTGTTGTGCCGCTCCCTGTGGTAACACCTCACCTGCTCTCTGGTCGCTTCCTGCTCGGGTTGCCTTTTATCTGACAGGTAACGCTCTCCGAGTGCGCGGCCGCGGGTGACGGCAGCTCCTGTCCTTCAGCGACGTCTCTTATCTAAACTTCAAACCCCTTCTTCTCCTTCCTCCCGCCTCTCCACTTTCTTCCCCTCCTCCAGAAAGCAGCCTCCCCCCCCCACCCCTGTATGACTAAAAGGTGTTTCCACGTGGGGGATGCCCCGTCGTGGGTGTTTTGAATTAATTATCTCTGAAGGACAGAGCGGTGACAGTGAGCGAGTCCATCAGGTGACGCTGTCATTGCTGCAAGGTCAGCCCCTCTTCGCTGTGTGAATGTGTGTGTTTATCGCCTTAATTTAACCGCGGAGGCTTCTAATGACGTCCCCCCCCTCCTTCCCCTACATGTTTTTTTCTGCCGTGAGCTGATGCTGAAAGGTGCTTTAGCCGGGGCGTTGCATCAGAAAACAGAATCAGCAGACCGGTGTCATGTGAAATCTGTGGCGCCCCGCAGCCTCCTATTGCAATCGGCTCGCCTTCTCACTCCATACTTACCTTCCTTTTCTTTCTCCCTACTCTGTAACTTCTCCTTAAAACTCCTCCTGTTGTGTTTATCTCTCCGGTTGTGCTCGTCGCTCTGCCTCTCTGCCTTCTTTCTCTTCCACCAGCCGTCCCACTGTGAGAAACCATTACAGACCGACTTCCCTCTCTCTCTAATTGATTCCCTTTCTCTCTCCGTCTCACTTCCCTCTTTTTTTCCCGTCGTCCTCCCGCTGTGAGCAGTCCATTACGTTCATTTCAGTTTGCAGAGCTTCACCATTTCTTTTTCTCCAGCTATGTTTTTTTTACATTTCTTACATCACTGCCCTCCTTCGCCCCCCTTCCGCTTCTCGCCCAAAAAACCTTTGTACCCTCTGAACTCGACAGGACAAAACTGGACCGCAGACTCACCGCTCGCCGCCCGAGCTCTCCTCTCCTCTCTCAGATTTTACAATATTTCGCCGTTTTCGTGCGATTTCGCGTCGTTTTTGTTTCGCGTTCAAATTTTTTTGTCTTTAGCCGGCGTGCTAGAACTCACACTCGGTTAGCATTAGCTGCTGCGTTTTGTAAAATGGCGGCGTGCGAGCAGAGGTGGGATGGTGGAACAGTGTGTGTCTCTGCAGTGAGGCGTTCTGCCGACACACACACACACACACACACACACACACTCGCAGTTAAATGCGGTTGTGCATGTACAGTTACACGTGCGGCATGTTGCTGACTGCACTGCAGAGAGGACACTGTTCTTGCAGTCACGCCACCGCGGACACCATTTTGTGCCGCAGCTCGCCGCCGCCGCCGCCGAAAAATTAAGACGCCAAAAAACAAGGAGTCAGGACGAAAGTTTGGCTTTTTTTTTTTTTTTTTTCTTGCACAAACGATGTGATTAAAGACGGATCAAAACACACACATCACACACACACCGGTAAACACGAGGCATTCAACATGAATTTTTACTTTGCAAACTGCGGCGCCCAGTCTCACGCGCTCGACGATCGACGTTTAATTTGAAAACAAAGCGACGAAACGGAATTATTTTAAACAACGTTTAATTTTTTCACATGTATGTAAATGTACAGATATAATACTGAAGCCTTGATGCTTCTGTTGCTGCAATAACGCTGCGATAGTCAGTGAATCATGTGGCAGTCAGTTGTTCAATTAAACGCCAAATATTTTGATAATCGTCGAGCAATTTTTTTACGAAAAATTAATCAGGATTAAATGTGAATATTTCCTGTTTTCACTCCTCCTCTGTGACAGCAAACTGAATGTGATACAGACATTTGTCATCTTGGGCTTTGGGAAACACTGACTGACAGTTTTCACCGTTTTCTGACGTTTTATAGACAAAACAAATAATTGACTAAACCAGAAAATGATGGATAAAGTTTATAACCGTCAGTTGCTGCCCTGTTTGTCACTGTAGTATTTTCATATCGAGTGAGAGTTGAAAGGATCAGATGATTAATCAATGAGTGGCTCAACAATTATACGATCGGTTGTTATTCATCACCAACTACTTCACTCAAATAGAGTACTTTTATGTTATTCTTTTAGGGAATAAAGATCCAGTTTCTTGAATTGCACCTTTTTAAAATCTGAATATTTTCTGCTTTCTTTCCTCCTGTGTCAGTAAACTGAATATCTTTGAACAAAACAAAACATTTGTCAACATTTTTCACCATTTTCTGACATTTTAGAGGCCAAACAACTGGTCGATTCATCCAGAAAATATTCGATAACGAACAAAACCGTTAGTTATCGCCTTAATATTTAATAAATATTCTTTGGTCATTGTATTTAAATGCTATTTGACTGCAGAAATGCAACATTTTCTATAAAAAAAACAAAAGGAATGAAGGCCATTTTAATGTTTTTATTTGTAGATTTTGTTTTTGTGCAGTTGCTCTTTAAAGTAGGATGTGTTTAGCTGCTCTACTTTGCTTTAGTTTATCCTACACTGACATATAATTTCAGCATCAACATTACGAGTGTGCAGGAGTCTCATTTTGCTCTCTGTGATGTGATATAAGACAAATGAACTTAAAGGCAACATTTTTTCCTGTTTGATATGAAAATAAACTTGCAGTGTTCTCATTCTCCGTCCGTGACTTGTTCAGAACAATTCATTTACTCTGATTTAAGGGTTCTTGAATGCATCATTACAGCGCTTTGTTAACATGCAGGCTGCACAACAAAAAGAAACAGTGAAAAAGGAGGATTTGTTTGCAAGGAGAAATCAGTCGTTTGTTTGAATCAGCTGCAGAAATCTCTGTGTAACGAGTTCGATCTGAATAAGCAAAAAATGTGGATGCATCAAATGTGAAAGGTGCAAAAAACGCTTTTTTTTTTGTTGCCCTCCTCTAGAAATCACCTCAATCTTTCTAGAACGATTAATTTCTTCTAAACGAGAGGCGTTTGAGTCATACGGTGAAACGGTTCCTGCATTTTTTTTTTTCTTTTGCACAGTTTTTTCCGCTGCAGGCCCGTTTAACGCTTCGTTAGCCGCCGTTCGTTAGCTGCATGGAGCCTCGTGGTCATTTATCGTCTGATGTTTGCGTTCGGTGTCAGAAGTGGCTTCGAGGCCGCCGATGGATTTAACTTCTGTGCAGCCTCATCCTCCCGTTTCTGTTCTGAGGAGTGTTGTTTTTTTTTTTTAAACAGTTTCCAGAGCCTCTACCTGCGTTCTCCCCGACCCCTCCCCGCTCCTCCATCATGCCATCCCTCCATTCTTCCCTCCATTATTTCCTTTTAGTCCCCCTCCTGCTGAGAAAGTGACGCCCAGACACAAACACCCCCTCGTCCCGGCTCCCTCTCTTCCCTCCCTTCCCTCTCCTCTCTTGTCTGACCTTGTTTCAATCTTTCCTCCACCGTACTTTCTCACTCGAGTCTCCGCTGCCGTCCCTTTCATCTTCTGTCCACTTCGTGGTTTCGCTCTGTCATTTTGAATTTTCTCCTGTTTTTTCCTCCCCCTCCCCCCCCCAACCTCCACCTTCCAGCGCCACCCGTCTTTTTCATTTCCTGTAAACCTCCCCCCCACCCCCCACCTCCAACCGTCCTCGAACCTCTTCTGTACAATCTCGATCATTCTTACGCTCTCTAATTTACATAACACTATCTTTTCCTGTTGCCGTGCTTCTCAAAGCTCTTTTTTTATCCGACCTTTAAGGGAATTTGCATAGGGGGACATATTTAGGGTTGCGCAGCCAGTCAGTACTCATTTTTCATGGCGTTAGTCTTTGAGTAATGGTAAATACCTTCCCCTGGTCATTTGTCTGTTTCTTGCTCCTTTTGTTCCACAAAGCAGCAGCTTTATTGAGAAAGTAAAGCCGGCGAAAATGACTAATCAGCAACTTGTTTCTTTGCTTCAACTTTATCTAAACCTTCTTTCTCTCCTCTCTCTCTCTCTCTCTCTCTCTTCTCGCCTTATTACAGCATCAGAGGGCTCAAAACAAATGCAAGGTGAGATGCAACATCTTAAATGATTTTTTTCTACGTGTGCATGCTTACACGTCCCTGATCGCAGCTTTTGTCTCATAACTCTGTGTCTTTTCCAGTGAAATTCAAGTTCAAATGTGCCTCAGCAGTAACGGAAATGAGTCAGACGTGATTTCATGAAGGTCTCGTTCCAAATAAACGAGCGATAATGTGCCGCGCTCCTCTGAGATTTGATTTTAATTCAGCCAAAAAGGCATCAGTGATTTTTTTGGGGGGTGTGAGATGTAGAACAGTGCTCCAGTTTGCCGGATGGGCCTGATTTCAGGACTCCAAACTTTACAAAAGAAATCATGTTGTCTTTATAAAATCGTCTAAATTACACCAGTTATCATAACGAGAACGGACACGGTCATCAGAGTTTCAGCTTTCTGACGGTCCTCGAAGGAATCGTGTCTGATGTGTGCTTCCTTCCTGGAAAAATAACTAAATTTAGGCTAAAATTTCCCCCAACA